AAAGTCATTTTGTGAAATTTCACCCTAAGCCTGGTTTTCGCAGATTCTGGGCCATATAACGTAATCTCTGGGACCACGCACAAATTTAGGGCTGGTATTTGGGATCACAAAACGGCAAACACGTCAGAGGCCATCTTGAATCACTCTACGTCATCAGATACCCGCACGTGATGCGGGGCCGCGAGATCGCGACTGTGCAAAAGTGTACTTGCCAGTGCAGTCTTTGACCTAGCTGCAAGAGCAAGTGCTAGTGTTTTTTTATTTTTTGGTGGTGCTTGAACTAGTTCGAACTGCTTCCCTTCGACTTTCTTTGACAGAGCGGGTGCTGTTAGGGTTTCCTGTTGTCATTTGTATCCACCACCGGTCTTGTATGTCAGTGCTTGTACAAGGTGTTCAGTAGTTATTTTCAGTCCGCGCCATGGGTGGCATCCAGGGTAGGAAAAAGTCGCACTCTGACCGGCTTGATTATCCCGAGTCGAGAAAGAAGCGAACTAGTGGCCAGTTCGGCTCAGTATCATGGCCAGCTGGACGTAGATCAGAGCGCCCAGAGGTCGAACAAACCGACAGTAGTCCTGAAATCCTTACCTCGCAGAACATTGACGATGTGGAGCGCGGTGTTCAAGAACAAGGAACCATGGTAATAATTGGATTCGCTCCAGAAAATTATTCTCGTGGTTCCCGGTTCCTTTCCCATGACTCTAATATTTCCTATGGTCTGGATACGTGCATCACGCTGAAGCCTAGATGAATCAGATTGTAAGTCAGTCTTCTCTCTAGCTCAAGATTTTGCGAACATGTTATCAGTGAACAATAAAAGCAAAGGACACAGTGCAACAAATGGAAAATGCACGTCTCCTTTTCCTTGCCGTGCGCACTGCAGTGTCACAGTCTGCAGTTCTGACTGGAAGGTGTCTTCCGTTTGTGAAAGAACCAGCGCAAATCGCGCGTGGCGCGGCGTCCTTCAAAACGACACAAGTGAGCTCCACATGAGCCGATTTTGACAATCGATGGCTCAAAATTTTCAGTAGGAGATGCTCCATACTTTGACCGAAGCGAATTTCGCCAAAACGATCCTAGAGGTGGGACACGTTTACCGAGTTTGAGGGTGTTATTTGAGGTCCAAATTTCGAAAATCAAAAAATCCTTCGGTGAATCCCTTTGCCCGCATCTGAACTCGGTGCCTGCAAAATCTTAGCCTGCTAGAGAGAACTGTGGCTCACTTGCGTGGATTTGAACAGGCCAGAGTCGACGCGAAGTACGGCAAGATTCCCTGTACACAGCATGGTGGGGCACATGTCACGTGAACCAAAATGGCGCCCACGTGTTTCTGTACAAGTACTAGCCCTGAAATTATGTTATATCAAGAGCAGACCTGTAGTGGGTTGACGTCTACTCAAGACGGGTTTATTCAAACAATACGCCATGGACAGAAGGAAGAAATACCAAAGATACAAGAGATGAAACTGGACGGTGAAATCAAAATGAAAAATTTAAAAAGTCTAATCCAAAGAAACGCAAGCTTGCAAGGCAGATGTAGTGGGTTGACTGCTACCTTTCATGTGTGACAAGTACAATGTAAGTATTGTCACACAGCCACAGAACAATGACTGTGTTACATGAGCGTTCACGTGTCACTACTCTACCAAACTACATGACTGTACATGCCTGTAGTCTAGAGAGAGAGAGAGAGAGATTACTCGTCTATCAGAAGCGGACATGTCGACAGATACCGCCAGTACCGTCACTACCGGTGCTACAAAGAGGCATTGCAGCAGAGAACCACCGGGTTGCTGCTGCTAGCGCTAATCGCTAATCGCTATGGCTTACCGTCATCGAGCAAACGATTACATGCGATTTCCGCAACGTCATCATGGCCATGGAGTCAACATTTTTGTCCCGGGGAAATAAGCAGTCGTTACTACATGTACTTCAGTACTATGCACTACTATGCACTATGCACTATGCACTACAATGCGCTATGCACTACTAGTACTACTACTATCCGCAGCATTCAACTTACTAGCCGCTGTCTTCATCCAGAAAATTATTTCGGGGAGAGATAAAGAGAAGTACATGTTCCTGCACGAGTATGAGGGCAGTACCGCGGAATCCTGCCCGCGCCGCGATAGCGGCAAGGGCTGGATGAGCAGCGGTGCTGACCGAGTATGAGTGACTGGAACGTGTTTCCCGTATGCACCCAAGCCAAGGAGATCACTCACAATCTTTGACGTTTGAGTTTACATGAACCATTCTGTGACTTGACTCGAGTCCTGTATGGCTGTATGAGGCTGTGTCAGTGTGAGCTGAGCTGAGTGAGAGTGACTTCGACAACCGGACACGGACTACAGACTCAGTACACGACTTTTGCATGTACTTTCAGACCACAGAAGCTTGTCATTGAAATGGTAGACTCATGAGTGGATTCTGTCCACTGCCCGTCGTCAAGTGACGACGGGCAGTGGATTCTGTCCACTGCCCGTCGTCAAGTGACGACGGGCAGTGGATTCCGTCCACTGCCCGTCGTCACTTGACGACGGGCAGTGGAACTAGTTCCATCACCATTCATCAGGCAGGATCGCGCTTTCCAGCCCGCGTAATTTGATCTGTCATTGGTCGACTCCAAGGCGACAGTCATGTGACATACGGGAAAAAATTATCATGTAGCGGTAGCATGATTCTATCGTACCAGAACTCCCAGAAGTCCCCAGCCGCGAACATAATAATAATATTGAAACCATGTACCAGGGAGTTTAAATACGCTACACTACTACTCCCTGCTTCAGACTGTTCAGACTTCACAGTCTTCAGTGCTTGAAACCAAACGCTCGGAAGCTATCGATCAGTAGTCTGTATACCAGGTATACGCGAGGCATGTCTGCCACCGCTACGGCGCTAGTGCTAGGTTGGCTTCACCGTTGTCATTGACATACTAGTAGTGCATGACAGGTGCAATGTACTCCAAAATAGCACAGCTCTTGACAACAACAGCTTCCTTTTTTTTATTGGACATGTATATCAGCTTCCACCATGTTTCCTGAGCAGTACTACTACTACTACTACTAGTAGTAGTAGTACTGACACTAGCTCTGAGCTGCGGCCTCCTGCTGCTAGCTGTACAGCCGATGATTGCGGATCCAGAAAGGTTTGAACCGTTTCGCGCAACTTAACTACAGCCATGTCGTTTTAAAAGAAGTGCACAGACTCGGAGAGCTGCAAAACAGTACGCAGTCGGCCTGGCCGCCGCGCGCGTCTTCAAGGTCTTGGATGGCTGATGGTCATCATCTCCCGCACGCGCACAGCAGCAGAGTCAGTGCAACTGCAAGATAAGCAATGGGACTACCGGTAATCATTGCTCTCTCATATGATCACATGCACAGACAGTCAGTGCATGCCAGGGCCCAGGTACTTGCCTGGACAGACTAAAGTAAAGAAACAACGTTAGTTCGTGAAGTAACAACAGCGCAGTGTATATGGTGTATGCAGAGCTAGAGAGGTACTTTTCATACTTGTAGATGTCGTGTACTGAGTTTCGACAACTACTTCAGCACTGCGCGGTCTGTGCATGTGGGCTAACATTTTGGCGTCGCACGAACCTTTTTGATGTGGACGTTAATAGAGAGGCAAATCATGTTGGCAAATCATGCGAAACGAAACCTCTCTAAATTTTGTCTGAAGGGGGTAGACTACAAAACGGTTACGTCGTGAAAAAGTGATCAGAAACTGACAAGCTGCAGCAGAGATAAGATTTACGACCAGAGTTCCCTGCCACCTTCATAGACATAGTATCATAACTACCATAACAATGACTGAGTCTGAGTGCTATCGAGGCCAAGCACTGGCAAAAGGTCGCATGCAAGTGCGTTGATCCACCGGTAGACTGGTACACTGTACCGACGTCCGTACACGCCGTGCCACGCCGCTCCTGGAGTTTCGCACAGGCTCACGGAGTCACCATTGCGGCATTGGTCACGCCACGCGACTAGCACTGCACTGGCCATACGCATACCATCGCCAGGCGACGCTACGCGTACGCTGCGCAGGTGGTGTCTGAGCAATGGATTTTTTTGACTAGTCTGTCATGTCAGCGCGCGGTGGTGGCACATACGAATACTGCGCGTGACACCCAAGACGAAGGGCAAGGCAAGTGCAGTGACAGGCATATCATGATCATGCGGTCGTCGTCACCTCTAGCATGCAGGAAGCCCCCAGGAGGGTCGCGCTGGCCACAAGTACACACAGTACACTGTAGGTTGCACCTTCTCGATCTCAAAATCCAGGGACCAGCATGCATTATTAGCACTGATAAACGTCATAACGTTACTTGAAGTAGCCCGTCCTCTCTATTTCAATCTACTGTAGACTGTTGTGTAGGTAGTAGTACTCTCTCAGTAGAGTCTCTGGTCAAGAACAAACTCCACTCACTGAACGCGCCATACCAGGAGATACTGCTAGCACAACATCACTCATGCCATCAGATAACGCGTCGTCGGCTCCAACACCAACTGGTCACCCCGCCAAGCTACCGCCCAGCATGCGTGTACTAGCGCTACGCTATACGCATTCACCAACACGAACACTGGTGACTAGAATAATGCACTACTATTAGTAGTACTAATTACACTGACTCGACTGTCTGCTGTTTGGCCACGGCCGGGCACACAAACACGCAGCGCGCGGTAGAGAAATACTACAACTAGTGTAAGTGTAACACTAACAGCACAGGACACGACAAGGGCCAGCCAGGTACTAGGTTTGTAGGTAGGCTGAGGTAGCACGATGATTGATGGCAGCACTAACACCAGTAACAGAGTGACACGGTTCTGTCCTAGTATTAGTACTAGTAGTAAATCTACACCACTGTCCTACTCTAGTAGTCCAGGTCTCTAGTCTTGACCTGAGTCCTACTCCGACTCCGAGCTAGCCTAGCAACAACAACAACGACCACGTAGATCTGTCGACTGTCGCAGCCTAGTTTACAGGTACGTTTAGGTTCTACAACACACACTGACACAGCTACAGGTACGTCAGGAAGTGGGACGAGGCGGGCACCACACACGCGCACACCAGCGTCGCAGCAGCATACGGGTCGGCGTCCTGGTTCCGGCCAGGCTACCTTCTTGCCGAGCTACTGATCATATCAAGACTCCCACCACCCTAGGCTGCATGCTGCAAACCGTCCGCAGCACGGCCAACCAACACACTCAGTGAGGCACAGATCTCTGCTGCCGTGTGCTGGCCTGTGCTCGTTCTGTCTGTAGACAGTGAAGATCTACCATGTGTACTGGCTGTCGGTTTCGCTCCCAGTACACCAACCCGCCCGGTCAGCCAAGCCAGGCCTGCAGCATCTTCATCATGACACACTGACACAACCACTGCCACTACAACCGACCGTGCATTTTCGCACGTCTACAGGACTGGGAGTGGAAGAAGGACACCTAGCGAAATCATGGTGGTGCTGATGCTGCCAGCTCCCAGAGAGAGAACGACTCCCGTGTAGTGCAGTGTCGGGCTTGCCGAGCCGTTGAGTGATTGCACCGCCGCAAAGTGCTGTCCCAGTCCCAGTGCCAGTGCACTGTATGTACTGAATCAGTGTTTCTCTAGTTCAGCACCCAGAGACAACTTCTCAACGAGTTGCCGACAGTCGACGGGCCATCCTTCACGTATCGGACGAGCACTCACTGACTCAGTATAAGCCGAGGGAGCAAGCCGAAGCCCCACGCTGACACATATTTTCTCTGCGTCTAGGGCCTAGAGATGTTGGGAACAGAACGAGTTTCTGCTGTGTCGGCAGGCGCTGGTGGAGTGGTGGTAGATGTTGGAGCATCGAGCACCTCTTCCCCTGCACCAGTGCGCACCAAGACTGGCCTGTTCGGTTTTCGCCGAACAAGAACCTCGTCCAAGAACAGTGCTGGTGCCGCTGTAGTGGATAGTACTACTAGGGCTGCTGGTGGTGGTGGTGGTGGCGGTGGTAGCGAATCTGACAATAACAACGCCAGGTCAAAGTCGTTGGGGTTGTTGAGACGTACAGGACGCGAGGCAGCGGCCGTAGCTCGTTCAGTAGGTGCAAGCAGTCCCAACAGCACTTCAAGCGTTCCACTCGATGCTCGTTCTCAGCTGACGACCTCCACAACAACAACAGCAGCAGCAGCAGCAAGTGCAGCGGATACGACAACAGAGCATCGCTCTAGCAAGCGGCACGGCCGTGAGCGTGCAGTTTCAGCCAAGCCGCTGTCAGCAGGGCTTTCCAGGTCCTCTCGCAGTATCTCATCCGTGTCGCCTTTCGCCAGTTTGACTCGCCTGCGAGGTGGCGAAAAGAAACTCAGCTGGTGCTTTGTGTGCGGAAAAGCAGTCCAGAGCTCAGCCAGCAGCTCGGTAACGATACAAGTGGACGGAGGCGAAGTGCATGTGCACGATAGCTGCTTTTGCTGCTCTAGTTGCCATCGGCCGCTGGTGTCGGAGACGTTCCGTCACGACAATGCCAAGCTATACTGTAGCCGACACCATGGCGGATATGCTCAGCTCGGAAGCGCTCTGAGTCTTCCACGGAACGTGGCCAAGTCGTCGACGGCTCGCTCTGGTCGAGCGGCCATAGCGAGAGGAGCCCACCAGCGCGCTAGGTCGTGCGGGGGCTTGCTAACCTCGCCTAATCACATCGCTTCAGAACCGAGCAGCGGTTCTAAAGAATTTGCAGGCAAGGCTGAGGCTTCCGCGCTGGGAGTGTGTGAGGCACGGGACAGCGAGGAGGACCTGGCTGATTTCGACAGGGACAGCATTACACCAACCAACAGTGGTGAGGGTCTTTGCAGAGTAAAAATTGGTGGCGGTGATTTCGACGACTCCGAGACCAATGAGCAAAGTAGTTGTCGGCTCCACATCCAGGATCGTCTGCAAACGCGATCTAATCCCAGCAGTAGCGACAGCAGCAGCGACGGCAGAGCTAGAAGGAGTGGCCCTGACGCAGGCACTTGTGAGGGTCAAGTTGTCGTCGATTGTTTAGGGCCACAGAGTAGCTCTATCCTTTCGCCTGGTCACGAGCAGCAGCAAGTCCAGCACAGTCGCAGCAAGGCCAGCAACAGTAGCACACTTGAGAGAGGGGAAAACCCAAGCAAGTGTTTACCTGTCGAGGGTGCAGATCACAATCTTCAAGTTAGTAGTAGTGTTTTGCATCAAAAGGACAACGACGACGAGCCAGTGTTTCAGTGTGCAGTCCACCGTAGTGATTCTGAGACAGAGGGCGCTTTGGCCAGTGTACCACCAGCGCTCATTCCTGCAGCCACCACCAGAGGACATCCGAAGGATTTGGCTCTGTCGCAGCCCGTTACGCCAGAGCCCACCACACCGGTTTCGCCACTGCCCCCACGCCCAGGTAGTGTTGGACCTCCCGTCGCACCGCGGAAAGGTTCTCGGTTTGGACATTTCGTGCGCACCGGTCGCTCCGGCAGTGTGCAAGCTCACGTTCAGGACTTGATGCACAAAGCGGAGAGTCAAGTAGCGACAACGACGTTGAAAATGCAACCGACCACAAAGGCGACGACGGGGCAGGGTCCGCGAATGGCGTCTGCACCAGTTGGCGGCCGAATCGGCGGTGGCCTACGTTCGGATACCCACTCGGCCGGTGTGCGCACCACATCACAGCTACCCAGAACGTCTTCGAAAACCGACCAACAAGGAGTAGTAACAGCTGCTGGTGCTGGTAGCGGAGATGTGGGTGGCGGAAAGGTGCCCAAATCCGGTCTGCCGCAGAGAATCGGCACGCCACGCTCCAAGCTGCCGCCACCGACAGCTGCCAAGCCGACCACGGTGACGAGCTCTGGGCACGAGAGAACGGCAGGTGGCATCGCGCTGTCCGGCAGTCGCTGTACTACTTGCACGTCGTCTGCCAGCAGTAGCAGCCAAACGACCGCTAGCACAGTAATCGCAGCACCGGCAGCGGGCGCGGCACCGAAGACAACAACGGCAGCGCCGTGCGGGACAGTGGCATCGACACAGCATACACAGCAGCACACACAGGCAATGCCGTCCAAGCGGACTGTGCAGGCAGCAGACACTACGACCGTAGAGCACAATCAGCAACCGGGGGGACTGCAGAAGCGCACCCCTGATCACTCTGCAGCAGCATCAGCACGCTTAGTTGGTGGGAAACTGAGCAAGGCGAGCAGCTCGTCGCCCACTCGAAAGCAGATATTGTCTCCACAGCGGTCGTACTCATCCTCGTCCATTGAGTCCGCGGCGAGCAGCGTTGGCCCTGGCACGGTCACCAAGCCGCTCCGGCAGGCTAGCGCTGGCTCGCTCTCGACGCCGTCGTCGCGTTTGCAATCGCCATCGCGCTCTGCTGGTGCTGGTGGTGCTGGTGGTCATACCAGTCCTCTCAGGCATGGTGTTGGTAGCAGTGCGGCAGCAAGCGGTGTCAGCTCCAAATCAGCAGCGTCTTCCTTCTCCGGGGCCGCTGCCAAGACGAAATCGCGACCGCCGCCGCTGACTTCGAGCGGAGAGGACACACGTGATGCTTCCCCGTCATCTCAGCAGCAGCATCAGCGAGGTCACTGCATACCCGAGTCACCCGGCTCCCCGTCGCTGCCCAAGTCGCCCCTCGCGCGCTCCAGCTCCGCCGGCTGTGCCCTGTCTCCGTCGCGTCGACACGGCAACCAATCAGCTACATCGGCAGGAGCGGCGACCAATCATGGCATGGGAGCGACGGCGGAGAATGTGGGCGTATCATCGCTGACACGCCGCGGCATGCTAATGGCTGCCAAGTACAAAGCAATGGAAATGGACCAGGAAGAGAAAACAAAAACGGTGGCGGCGGCGCAGGACGAGGACGAAAAGCAAGATACTGTTAAATCAATGGCAACTGCGGCGTCGTCAAAGCAAGCGACCTCCTCCATGGCTCCGGGAGAGCAGAGTCGGATCTCCAAGACACGGCACAGTGATGACGAATCGAGCAGGACAACCACGGCTCTGTCTCGGTTCAAAAAGCCGCCGAAAGCCAAGCCATCCTCTCAGCACGACGTCCGCGAAACGCAGCAGCAGCAGCCACAGAAGAACCCTTCCGCACAGCAGAACTGGCGACAGCGGCAGCGCCTGACGTCCGATTCGTCGAAGAGCTCGGATGTAGATGGCCCACAAACGCAGTCATCCTCACAGCAACATCGCACAACCGCCGCGTCGTTGTCCTCTCATCGTGAACAGGTCCGCCGACAGCATAGCGGTGGTCAGAACCGACAAGAACTCTCCACTACCACCACCAGCACGGCACAATCATCATCGTCCTCCGCCAAGCAGCCGGAGCGTACCGACAGTCACAAGAGCAAGAGCAAGGGCAGCAGCACCACCGCCACCACTGTGACACCACCGCCGAGAGCATGTCCGTATCGAGAGGACTTGCCCAGCATCATCGATGACAGTTTCCTGGATGACTTGCAGGTTAGTTAAGTAGGGTTGTTTAGGTCTAACTCGGATACTGATCTTTTCTCCTATGTATCGGCGGCGCACAGGAGTAACGATGATTCCGAGACCTTTGGTCGGAGGAGTTACTTCCACCCCGCCCCCACTTCCATCCAATATGCCACCGCCCCCGCTGTGCAGCATCTGATGGTTCTGTGGTATTCAGTAAAAAAAACTGAACCAATAAATATAATAATCTTTAAAATAGAAGAAATCACATGGAAACGAGTTATGAAGCAACTATCCACGACTGTAACAACATAATTAGCAGTCAGAAAGTGCGATAACAGGGTACACAACTCACATGTTACTGAGACATTCAATGACCTGAGACCTAGCTCTCACACACCTCCAGTGCGCAAACCAATAGCCTTCCAGCTTGGAAGGTTCAAGGTTATGGTAAGACCAATGAGGGGAAGGTGAGCGCAGCAGACAGTAACATGTCAGTTTTGTGCCCTGTTCTGACTGCTTATAATGTTGTTACAGTCGTGGATAGTTGCTTCATAACTCGTTTCCATGTGATTTATTCTATTTGTTTTGTTTTGTTTTTATTTTTACTTCACCAGACGGTAGATACCCAGGCATTCCTGCCTTCTAGTCTCTAACAATATGGTTATACTCTCAATAAGAGATGAATTGGACATGAGTCTTCTCGGCACTCCTCCTCGTTGACAAGGTTGAAAGAAACAATAAAATCCAGACCCAGCTACTGTTGCTGCTGTTGCTGCTGCTGCTGCTGCTGCTGTTGCTTTTGGTGTTGCTGCAGGTATACAAGGCTATGTGCCAAGATGTGGTGGAGCAGGCACAGACGCAGGAGGAGACCAATGCCAGCGGGTCGCTTCAGAACCGCCTGAACCGACAGCGTTCGCCCAGCAGCGGCAGCGTCCTCTCGGCATCATCCACTCTGAACAGCAATGGGGGCGGAGTCGGCGCTGCTGGAAATGGTACACAGATACACATTCAGCTGCGCAACGAAGACTTCCAGCCTGCCGCGCCCATGGCAGCGGTGCCTGATGACTGGACGACCGTTCCGGTCATCTCCGTCGTGTGTGGTTACTACAGCGAACCGCTGAAATCCATCGAGTACTCGAACAGCTTCCACCGGCACTCCGTACGCCGCAACAGCTCGAAGAAACGGCGCAAGCCGTCGTCCACGAGCACTGCCGCAGCCAAACTAGAGCCTGTCACGCAATACTACGCGATCGAGGTGCCGCTAGAGGAGGCCTACAAGACGTACTTCATCGGGAAAATTCACTGGAACTTCTACGTGGAGCAGGATGCTGACATAGGCCCGTGCGTTCTCTCCCTTAAGCAGGAGTCATCCGCCGAGCAGGAGCGTTTCCGTGTGCTGGTGCGCAGCTCCAACTGCATCAGCCACGGATGTTTGCCGGCCACCTCACTCCTCGCCAACCCCTACATCAAGGAGGAGGTGGTGGCCAGCATCGGCAAAGAGATTGGCGTCACCGAGCCGTTCTCCCGTACCACGTTCCCCACAGCTGAACAGGTGAGCGGATTTTTTATTATTATTTTTATATTGATTATTATCCTTTACGAAGAACACAACCCTACTGAAAGATGTACATGTGGAGACAAACACAAAAACCAGATACCGGGCATGTAGGGACGATGCGCGAACGGCTGAACAGGTGAGCAGCCTGCCGTATTTTCCGGAGTATAGGCCGCACTTTGAACACTCAAAATTCACCCAAATAAAGTGGAGTGCGGCTTTTACTCCGATGATCAAATTAACGGTGATAAATAGGATAGATGTCTGTAATTGGTGCATGTGGAAAAAATGGGGGTTGCAGTTATACTACAGTGCGGATTATGCTCCGGAAAATACGATAACTTAGTAGTAGTTGGTTGTTCCAATGAGGAACACACGCTTCTTGCCGAACTTGACGCTTGACTGGCTCACGACTGCCATCCGGAGCACACGAGGAGCACGTCGCACCTTCGACTTCATGACTAATACCGCTGAAGTCGCAACTTCTAAGTTAGCAGTAGTAGTAATATTTAATATTTTACTAGAGTAATCCCCACAGACTGTAAGTCTTTTTACAGGGTACCGAGTAGATCACGACAGCTGGATGTACCGTATAAACAGAAATATTCGTCTGGAATTTAATTTCGTCTTTTTCGTCCAAGGCGACTAAATTAAATGCCGGACTAATGTCGATTTGTCCAGCTCTTCAATACACTCTTATGATCCAAGGACGAAATTTACAACCGGACGAACTCCCATTCTTTGAAGTTGGACGAAATTATTGACCGACGAAATGTCCTGCCTGCACACTACTACTAGTAACTATGCACTGCCCTGTATCATAAATGTGACGTGTTCTTTCCTTTCCTGTACTGCCTGTTTTTGCTGGTGCATAGGAGCTCCTGCGCATTGACGAATCGTTCAACTCGCGGCAGATGAAGATCGGCCTTGTGTACGTGGCAGCTGGCCAAACTACGGAGGAGGAAATGTTCAACAACCGCACCGGCGGTGTCAACTTCGAGACGTTCATGTCCTTGCTCGGTGACCGGGTGAAACTGAAACGCTTCGGAGGCTATCGCGGTGGTTTAGATGTGGAGTACGAACAGGTGAGTGAACAGGCCGGAATGTCTGACACTTGTACTAAAAAGTACGTGCTTTTTCGGTATTCAAATAACAGTAAACCTGTCATGGCGACCACTCGGATAAGGCGACCCACCTGTCCCAGAAGACCATTGCAACCAGGACCAAGGGATGCTATTTCTAGTCAAATGACCCTGGATAAGGAGACCTCCTGGTAACAGAGACCACCTTTTGAAGATCCCTTGAGCGGTCGTCTTAGACAGGTTTCACTCTACACGAATCATTATAATTATTCTACTGTAGCACATGTTTTGTTTTCTGAGAGTGTGAGACCACAACTGAAACTGCCGTCTCTTGTCTTGACTGTGTGTCTTGCAGACGGGAGAGGACAGTCTGTACTCGGAGTGGAACGATCATCAGATCATGTTCCACGTCGCGCCGCTCCTGCCGCATCACGAGACCGACAGGCAGCAGGTGAGCGCGGGCGTGGTGCGCCCGGTGCGAGGTCGATTCACCCCGTGACCCTCGTGAACTACAGTGGTCCCTCTGTAATCCGGCATTATTCGTGCTACGGAAATCCTGCTGGATTGTAGAGGGAGTGTTGTCCGTGACCTCTACGAGGTCGCTCCTCTTTTGGCGCATGTGTTCCGTGTGGCGCTGTGTCCGCGCGGGCGGCGTGCGAACCGCGTAGAGGTCACGGACAACAGGAGGGTGCTGGACTAGAAAATCCGATTTACTGCTGCAATGTGCATGAACATGACACTTTGGTAACTGAAAATTATGCTGGTTTATAGTGGGCGGTGCTGGTTTAGAAAGTGCTGAATGAAAGAGGGATGCATGACTGTATCATCCCCTCTTTCATGTCACGGTGATGTGAGACTTTCGATCAGTACAGCACTGCCGGGCATCGAAGAACGACCAGGCTAGAATTTCACCACGGCACAGCATACCGATGTATACACGCATAGGCTGCAATACATGAAAACGAGAACGGCCTAGGCTAGGAGGCTGACCCCCAGTTCTTCGGCGACCAACAGTTCTGTAGGGAATTTTGGCATTTTTGACCGTTTTGGGAAACACTGTGGGGGAAGTTGTACATGAATGTATGAGTGTCCTACGTCGGCATGGTGGTTAAATTGGACAGCCTGGTGTGTGTCATCGATCGATGGTGGGTGGGTGCGTGGGTGATGTCATTACAAGGAAAACATTTCAAATGCTGATGTCACTGAGCAACTTCTTTTGGCATGGATTGTGTTCGGTGTGTGTGTGTTCTATGTGTGTTCTGTGTGCATGCATGTGTGTGTCTTCTGTGTGTGTGTGTGTGTGTGTGTGTGTGTGTGTGTGTGTGTGTGTGTGTGTGTGTGTGTGTGTGTGTGTGCGTAATCTCAGGTTCAGAAGAAGCGCCACATCGGCAACGACATGGTGCTGGTGGTGTTCGTGGACGACTGCAGCACGCCGTTCAACCCCACCTGCATCCGCTCGCACTTCCTGCACACGTTTGTTGTCGTCCACCGCCATGACGAACACTACCGAGTGGACGTGGTGGCCCGCGAGAGCGTACCCTTATTCGGGCCGCCGCTCTGGCGCAAGAACGTGTTCCCGATCAAGACGGACTACGAGAAGGAGGACTTCCGTGAGTTCTTCATGACAAAGCTGGTCAACGCGTATCGTGCCTCTCTGAAGGCGCCGAAGTTTCTGGCCATGAAGACGCGTACAACATCTCAGGTATGCTGTAGAACATGTATTTTTAGATGTGGTGAAATTTTCGTGTTGGGCACCTGCCAGGTTTCGGGTGTAATGTAGACTTAGGTGACCGTTGAGTGTATGTCTGTCTGTCTGCCTGCCTACCTGCCTGTCTGTCTGTCTGTTAGTTTATTGGTCTGTGCTCACATGTGTTTGTGTGCGTGCCTGCGTGCGTGTGTGTGTGTGTGCGTGTATCCAGATGCTGTCAGAGTTGACGGCCCAGTTTTCCGCCTTCGAGTCCATGCCGAGCGAGCTGCGCGGGGTCACAAATCATGCAGCGCGCAGCCTCAGCCACAGCAACAGCATGTGCTCGACGACTTCCACAGTCACAGGCGCCGTTTCCGCGCAGTGCCCGCCGCAATCGCCGAGCATCTCGTCGTCATGGATACCTACGGGAGCGCGACGCATGTCCACGCCTCTTCCGGAGCGGAGCAAGCAGGAGTTCCACTCGCTGCCGCAACTCAGCCGCGATCTGCACCAGGCGTGCCGTGACTTCAAGCAGTGCTGCGACGTCAGCTTCATCGTCGGCGAGCGCAAGTACCCGTTGCCGGCGGTGCGCGCCATCCTGGTCGTGCGCAGCGCCGCGTTCCGCCAGTTCTTCCTGGAGCCGCGCACCCCGAGCGCCGCTACCACCACCATCATCGGCAGCAGCAGCAGCGTCGCCGACTCCATGGCTAGTCTGGACATGGCAGGTTCCTACGTGGCAAGGAGCGGCGATCTGGCATCGCTGGCGCTGGAAGGAACGTCCGAGCCGCCGCTAATGGCACGCAAGGGCCTGCGCGCGTCGGCCCGCTTCAAGCTACGCAGTGGCACTGGCAACGGCAGTGGTGGTAGTGGCAGCCACCAGCAGCGCAAGAACAGCAACCTCAGCTCCAAGAGTCACGAAGGCGCCATAACATCGGTAACAGCCGCACAGCAGCAGCAGCAGCAGCAGCAGCGCCAAAGTGCGTCGAAAGCGAGCACGCGCCGCAAGTCGTCCTCCAAGAGTGGATCCTCCTCGAGTAATTTGTTCTGGGGTGACGGTGGTGCCAGCGGCAGTAGTGTTGCCAGCAGCATCGGCGGCAGCTCTGGGGGACAAGGTTTTGATTCAGGTGCTGCTGGTGATGAAGGACAGGGACTGGAGCGTTCATTGTCGTGGCAGAACTTACGTCCGTCCTCGTCAACTCCTCACCTGCTGGACGACTGTCTGGACTGTGATTCCTACGCCGTCGGTACAGCTGCTGCTGGCTCTGCATCTGCGGGTGGTGCAGCCGGTGGTGTGTGCGGTAGACCGGGAGCTGCTGCTGCGATGATGATGTCTGCAGATATGCCAGCGCCTCGCTTGGCTGACTTTCTGCGTCAGCTGGCACCAGGTATCCAAGTGTTTGAGGTAAGCCCCCCACCCCCTCCTCCCCCTCCCCCCCCCCCCTCCTCCCCTCCTCTCCCTCCCCCTTCCCCCAACAGACAGTGCTGGTGCATTCATACTGCTTATTGTGTACACTGTGCATGCTGTGTTAGTACATGAAAAAACCGCTGTTTTTTTAGATCTTTTCTTCTAACAAACTAAGTCTCCTCCTCCTCCTCCTTTCTTCTAGCCTGGTTAGTTCTCAAACGGTGGTTAGATTTTAGGCTGTATGTTCATGGGAAGCCCGTTCTCCGGCACTCAATGCTACTGTAGGAACAGTGGATATAGACGAAAGATGGAACATAAAATTCCAGTTGTCTCGCGTGATGGCTGCATCTGCATGTATTGGCATTGCATGCCGAGCACGTAACGTGTGTGTGTGTGTGCGTGTGTACGCGCTCACGTGCGTGCGTGCGTGTGTGCGTGTTTATGTGTGTGCGTGTGCACATGTGTGTGTGTGTGTGTGTGTGTGTGTGTGTGTGTGTGTGTGTGTGTGTGTGCGCGCATGCACGTGTGTGTGTGCACCCATGTGCACCTCGAATGTCTGCGTGTGTGCAAATCCTACCCACCACCTGTGCATGCAGGTGTCTGAGTTCTCCGAAGAGTCGTTCAGCTCCGTCCTGGACTACATACACACAGGGTCATGTGACATAACCGCCTACAACCTCACCGGAGTGCTATGCGCCGCAGCTCTCCTGCATCTAACCGCTCTGGAAAAGACCTGCATGAAGCTTGCAGCCAGACTGCTAGCCGATGCCGGCAGCGTCATTCAAGTCCTGGCTGGGTGTGAGGTCTACCTGCGGCGTCATCCCCTGGCCAACATGCTCTTTGACAGCGTGGTGGTCCCGTTCATCGTCTCCACACGCCTGGACATCCTCTCCGAACCGGGCATCACGTCGCTAGGGCAGGAGTCCATGCGTCGCCTGTACACGCTGAAGCTCCACGCCGACGACACCACGCGGTTCCGCGCGGCCGCGCTCTGGGCTGAGGCTGAGTCCCACCGACAGATCTCCGCCGTGGAACGCGGCACACGGACCAGCAGCGAGGTGATGTCGTCTGCCGGGGCCATGCAGCAGCATCATCGTCATGCTGATGGTGTGGATACAACGGCGGCAACGGGAGGTGCGCTGAGAGCGGGTACTAGTGTGCAAGAGGCGGACAGCATGCTGGCTGAGTGCTCGCGTGAGTCCCTGCGCAAGCAGCTGATAGCGCCGCTGGTACGCGACGTGTCCCTCCGCAAGATATCCGCCGCCGACCTGATGAAGGTACGGAGTAAAACCGGTGCGGGGGGCAGGGGGTCGGGGCGGATGGAGGGGGGGGGGGGGGGTAAGCGTGTCGCTGGTCCGGTATGTGTCTCTCCGGAAGATATTCACCGCCGACCTCATAAAGGTACAGACTACGGAGTAAAACCTGGGGAGGGGCGGGGGTCGGGGGGGGGGGTGGCTGTCATTCTGGTTGGATTGTGAATTACGTGTTGTGAGAGCCGTTGGTCCCACTGTCCGCATGCCATGATCACGTTCTACACGTCGCGTGACACCGATGTACATTGATGGCGCAAATATTATGTCTGATTATGTCCTTTTAAAAGAGAAAAAGGAGAAGGACACAAATGTTACGAGTTATGACTAACTGTCCGCCAACGTAACCAGATCATATACAGTCATCGAGTCCTTTTTCCATAATCAAATTGGCTCACCATCCGAGTTATGGTGTGACGTCTCGGTTTTGGCCTGGTGTTTTCCACCTCCTCTTGTGTCCGCACTGCTTTTTTGCTACTAATGTCTCCAGCTTGGTATTACAGGCATGGTGGTGGCCTGACACAAGCGAAATTTCCTTAGGGCCTATCCACACTATGTAATAAAAACGGCGTGCCGTTTCAGGGTACGTGACGTACACGCGATGCTCTGTCCACACTGCACTCTGTCACCAGTGTAACTAAGTCGTGTACCTGTTCATTATTTTCTCTAGATGCCGCGATTGCACAATGTCAATGTTTGTAGCGCGTAGACCAGGAAAGGACTCCCTGGCTTGGTCTAGACCTACCCAGCTAGCTACAAAAACAAGTGGCGGCCCAGCGATGGCAGCACTGACGCCGAGCTCAAGGAATATCACCCTGAACTCTGTTCCAGGTGCGGAAATTTGGCCACCGTGTGACTCTCGCGGCAGCGCAGCGCCAAGGTCGAGGCCGGCTGTAGCATCGCTTGACGAACCAGTGTTGGTGGCCGCCGTGTATTTCCAGTAAAAGTCCCTGGCTTTGGCCTTCATGTTGTCAATTTTTGTCACGAGAGGGTTCTGCTTCCTCTCCAAACTAGATCAAATTTTCAGTGAATTCTTCGAGTCTCGCTACTACACCTTCCTCCTCATCAGACCCCGGGATTTCTCTGCATGTCCAGCCATGACTGTATCAATGTCGCCTCCGAGTGGTCGCTGAAACGGACGTGTGACAACTCCAAAGCGAAAACAAGCGGCAGCTGGAAACAGCAAGAAAAAACTGCGATCCGCAAACTCCATCGACTCCCGCACAAGAAACACTGCGAAAACGGCTGAGATGAGAAACGTGCTTTGTACAGGGGTCCGCGACTCACGTTCCGCATGAATCCCACGTTCCCCGTTTTCGGCCATTTTGTCACTCACCTTGCCAACAAGCATGTTTACGGCGTGTTTACGTGTTTTCTACCTAGTCTGGACAGGCCCTTAGCTGGTTGTGTTCTTCAACACAATAGTATAGCCGGTGGTAACGCTAATGTGTAAACTTAACTTTTTATATTTTCTTTTTTTATCCAGCTTGTGCTACCGACGGGGGCTTTCCCACCTGATCAGGTGATGATGGCTCTCGCGTTCCAAGCCGACCCGTCCGCCGCCGCCTATTTTGGCGTCGGCGAGAAGAGTCCGAAGAACGCACGCACGTCGTCCCAGGCGCGGCAGGCGGGCGGTTCCCGTGGCAACAGCAGTTCCCGTGGTAACCACGCTGGTCGTGCTCGCAATGCCAGCACGCCTCAACCTGGCCAGAAGCCGAGCAGCGCAGCATCATTTGTACCCGATACCTCCTCTGCAGTCGCCTCCGCTGCTTCTAGCGCCGCCGTTGTCAAGGGAGGAAGCTTAGCCAGTCGGCAACGGCGACAGTACACACCGTCCCCTACACCGTCCTCACCAAACATCTCGTCAGCCGTCGCATCGTCATCGTCGGCAAGAGATCTCTTCACCGAGGACAGCACTGGTGCACAGCAGCAGCCGACGCGCCTCACGCCCAGTCCAACGCGCTCACGCCGCCGCCTGCACCCGTCCAGCCTTGGCCGCAGCAGCGCGTCCCTGTCGCCACGACGACCCTCGCTGCAGAGCCACCCGCAGCTCGGTGGCGGCGGAGGCGACAGCAGGATGCGCCGCTCGGAGCGTGTGACCTCGGTCCCGGACGTGACGGCGGCAACAAAGTGCGAGACCCCACTGTCCACGTCTAGTCCCCCTCCGTTCTTCAACAGTCCCGATATGGCGGCCGTGGCATCGTCATCCTCCTCGACTACCAGTGGTGGCAGCAGTAGAAACAGCAGCACGCCTGCTGAGAACACGGGCAGCAGCAGCACATGTAACCAGACAACTACGGTGGAGGAAGAGGACGAGGACGTCGCGATCTGCACTGCGGGGACTGAGAGTGCTGCCGAGTACGACCTGGAGAGAGATGACGTCGTGCCGCCGACTAGTGACGAGTGTCCTGGTCCATCATCGCCTCGTCACCTCAACACCAAGCGAGGCTCAAACAGCAGCAGTAGTGGAAGTGGTGGTGCTGGAAATCGTCTCAAGGTCACCGCTTTGTAGGCACACAGGCATCGCCTACTGGTCTTGTGTGGTGAATAGTACGCATAACGGCCCCGTGGTACCATGACAGCCTGGCATTTCAGCTCAGCCGCTTTGTAGACACAATTCGAAGAGTTTAAAGCGCCGACATGGGCCATTTCACTCTGAACAAGAGCACATGATTGTTCAACTGACCGGTTTCACTGTTTATCAAACAGATCATCGGATCTAGCAGCGTGTGGTGAACGGTATGCATGCTGATCCCAGTACCATGTGTCATTTCAGCACTCTTGAGCCTCTTGAGCTTGAGACCCAAACGGTGCCGCTTACTGGGAGTACGTTTGGTGAATACGCATGCCCCGTAGTACCACACCAGCCTGGCATGCCCAGCACTCGACCTCACTCGTCGTTGTCGGTCGTTGCCAGCTCCTCTCAGCCCAGTGTGCGCTTGGTTGTTCTGAAACAGTCGTGCGTGCATTGTCGCGCGCGAGCGCGTACGTGTGTCTGTGTGCGTGTGTGCGCGTGTGTGGCGTCGTGTAGCTCATTCATACAGGAGCAGCGATATCCCACCTGCTAGGCCTCCGCCGAATAAACCTTGCCGTGGCTTTGTGCACAGGGTGTGTAGACTTTGGTGAGTAGTATTATAACTTCGTGGAGTAGTTAAATATTAACTTTCTTCTGTACCCCGCTGAGTTTTCTGGCAGATCACTACTGACCATGGTCACAGAGTGGAGACCGGTATAGTTCTTGTAGGCTATGCCACCGCCTGTTGGCTTGTTTTCTTATTTTCATTCCAAACGGGACGGTTTTTCGAGGCAGTGAGACTTGACAACAAGGTTCCTTTCAATTATGTGCACACACACACACACACACAGAGGTGCGGACACATTATGAATGCACAGTCGTGCACATGCACACACGTGTCTGCGTGCGTGCGTGCACGTGTGTGTGGGTGTGTTTGCGCTCAAACACTGTATTGATCACAACCATTGTATACTGTAAGATGACCGTGTACTTGTAGGGACAGTAGCTGGTGTGCCGGTTTGTTTCAGAATTGATTTTTTTGTTCGAATTTAGTTTTCCTTGTGTTCTACAATGTACCAAGAGTATAATGAATTGTACTGTACTTCAAAGTACATTTTTTATCTCTCCTGTGCCTATGCTTGAACTCGGATATCATCGGAGCTACAGACAACTTTGCGTATAACTTGTGACGACACCCGGCCGGGGCATCAGAAAAGTGTCCTTATTCGCGAAGTGTCGTTTTACCCGAAGTCTCATTATATGTATTACAGTTAGATGGGACTTTGCTCTGGGCATGGGAATTCCGTCGTTATATCCGCAGTCGTTATTAGCGCGGTGTGACTGCATACGTTTGTTTGAGTGCTGCCACATGCATGTAACCTGGGCGGCATGATGTTCTAAGTTTCATTATGATGATTGCAGTGTGATACGATGAGGCTTTGAGGCCACAGTGATCTGGATTTGAGTTTTCCTATGGCATACCGGTACCTGCCAACCTGAGATAGCAACAATGACTTACACTGGAACCTGTCCAAGGCGACCGCTCAAGGGGCCTTCAAAACGTGGTCTCTGTTACCAGGTGGTCTCCTTACCAGGGTCATTGCACTGGAAAAGCATCCCTTGGTCCTGGTTGCAGTGGTCCTGTAGAACAGGTGGTCGCCTTGACAGGTTTTCCTGTAGCTATAGGCATGAAAATTCAATGTATACAAATTAAATCTAGCTGAGACATGCGACAAATTTTGTTGGGTGCCTTGTAGACTAGCAGTCTGCGATATCGGGACGGACGGTCCCAGCGTAATCGGGATGGCTGGCAGGTATGCCATGGTTCAGGTGCACTGCTTTTCACACGCCTTATCATTACAGTCAGACCTCGCATAACCTCACACATTCGTTTCCACAAAAAATGTCCGGATAGGCGAGGGAACCGGATAATTGAACACACATACTGTATGTATGCATGGCATATTCTGTAAATCGGTAACCAACGATTTTCTTCCGGATGGCGAGGGATCCGGATAAAAGAGGACCGGATAAGCGAAGTCTGACGGCAGTGGCATTGCAGCACCGCACTTGTTTGTCGTACTTGGAAGTGCATGTACCGTACACACCAATGCACCACATGCGCAGCACAGTGCATGCATTCTTATGTCCGACAAAATGCTTCTATTGAAAATACCGGTGTACAGTGAATACTCGAACTGTAGTAAGAAAGGTAGTAACCCTAACTGAGCAGATGTAGCTACGTAGTGCCACTAGTGCACTAGTGGTACACCCTGCCATGAAAATAATTAATTATTATGATACACATAAGCCGGCACCATGGTAACATGGTCACGTACATAATTATTCTGCAATCATTACCATGGGGTTGTAAGTTTACAACTCCTGTAAATTACAAACTCCAGTGTTGTAAATTTACAACTCCAGACCTGTGCTATAGTGGCCGTGGCAGTACACTGCATCAGAGTAGCATTCTGTGGGAGCAGTGATGGTCGCCGTCGTATGGCTCTCAAACCACGGTACACTGAGGAGGCGATGATGATGCTGCTGCTGCTGGTTGGAATGCTGCACACGACTGGAGTAGCCAGCTACCCCACACCGTCAATTTGCCACTGCCCCGCATCTACAATCACCATCTTGCCACCAGCCGTTCGCGACTTGCGTTCGTTCACACGCAGCGGTAACCAAGTAGCGTAGGCCACCAAAGCCATGGAGGAAACAGCCATGGAGGAAACAGCCATGGAGGAAACAGCCATAGAGGAAACTAAAGCCAATGATGTGTTACTACGCGAGGCGGCGACCGGTCGATGAGCAACAAAGGCGATCGTTCAAACACACGAATACGGTCCAAACATGAGGGAGGGTGTGGGCCGGTGGGGTGATGGGGGCTGTTAAATAAGTACTAGCCGGCGTATTTAATCAATCAAAGGTTTCGACGCGCGCTGAGTAGGCACTGTCCAGGCGCTATTGGCTACTGATATCGCAGAAATGGATTTCTACTTGCTAGGAAAAATAAAATAACGGAGACACTGTTCGGGGGGGGGGGGTATTCCATATCGAGAGGGAAACTAGGTTATATATGACAACACGGAACACGGGTGCAAGTGAAGTCGAAAGGAGCCGATGGCTCCGCTAGGCTTCAAAGTTCAAAGAGAAAGAGAGAGAGAAGCGAGAACAGGAGGACTGAAGTCAGATCAGGTGCATGCACAGACAGACAGACAGACAAACACACACACACGTGCACACACACAGACAGAGCGGGGAAGCAGCAAGACGCACTTTGACATGCAACACCAGGATATCCGCACCCCCGATTACGTCCTTTGACAACATCCTCGTGATGACCTGGTCAGCAGCACACTGAACACTGAACAGTTGGAATGGCACAGGCCACTTAAAAAGTAGCACTTCCGGAAGCATGGTCCGAGTCTTGCATGTCATCGTCGCCGTTATTGCCACTCTCGCCATCAACAGGTGACGACAGGTTTGATGCCATCTGGTAGTGAACGTTTGGAACGCCGGTGGCGTCTCCTCCTTGCTTGCCAGGTGACGTAGCGGCAGCTGGTGACGATGAGCCGATTGTACTGCCACTGGCGGCCGCTGTGAGCTGGTCACCATCGCCGTTGCCGTCCTCCTGCACGATGGCAAACACGTCGCGGTCATACGCCGAATACGGAGCAGCACCAGCAGACGTACCGAAGGGCTGGCTGCCGGCAGTGGCGGCAATGATGCTACCGCTGGAGCTACCGTACATGAGGTTGTTGGCTGCTTCGTTGTCCTTCGCCACGCTACGGTGCCAGGGCTGGCGGTGGGCAAAGTCCCGGCCGCTCTGAGTCTGCTGATGCTGTTGACACAGCGGCACGAGTGCACACAATGGACGCACACGTAGACACGGACATACGCACGCGCACGCACACATACACGGATCAAAGAAAATTTTACTTTTCAGCGATTTGCGCACATGTCCCTCCGATGTGTCTGTACTAAAACATACATAATTGTACTGCTGATAATTGGCAGCTGGACAGCTCCTGCTTGGCACTAGAGAATGGCAGGCAGCGACGGTCTAGTTCCAAATACCGGTACATGTACCTTTGGTGGTCGTTTAGGACCAAAGGAAAGTGGTGGTAGATTTTCTGTTGACAGCAACCTGTCTGGAGATCATGGGTAATACCGTAATAGCGTGCAAGGCATCTTGCTCTACAAGCCTGTGGTTGTGTGACTTTGGCCGTATTTCACTAAACCTGCGCTACGAATACGGTAAACAGCTACAGCCATCAGGAAAAAAACAATTTAAAATACAATGGATTCGTTTTGAAAGCTCCAAAAACACACAAACTCGCAATGAAGGCTGGTGGCACCCAGCACATGCTTTGTGCGTGCGCTACTTTGTACGACGACAGACATCAAGCATCCTGAAGGTGATGTCGATAAAAAGATTCCACCGTGGGCCAGACCAGCTGCGGAGTTGCACACTCTTGTTTAGATACAGTATGATTGGGCGCCGAAGAACACTCAGGCTGGAAAATGGCCCAGATGTAAGAACAACCCAGACTAGATTTGCAGATCTATTTGTAAGAACACCTGTACTGCTTAATTTAATAAGTGATCGCATCGCATGATGCTCTCCATGATCGCGGAACAAGAACAAAACGACTAAAATCTGAACATGTTTAGAACAATGCCAGACTGCCCTTATGCCCCTCCGTTCTTCGGGGCCAGACCTTACTGCACTCTTGCCTCCACCCACCGGATGCGTACAGGAACTAAGGAAAACAGTCGTCGCATTTTACCTACTATATTTCCCCGACTATAAGTCGCACTCGATTATAAGGCGCACCTCAATTTTCAGGTTTAAGCGATCATGTTTCGATATATTGACTTCAGTAGTAAGTCATGCTCGATTGTAAGTCGCACCCCTTTTTTACCCTGAATTTTAGTGTCCAATGGTGCGACTTATATTCGGGGAAATACGGTACTAACTAGCCACCCGATGAGAACTTCCTAGAAAGAAATGGCCACCGTCATCATCGCCAGCAAGAGAAGCAGCCGCTCACGTTGAAACAACTTACAATGTCAAACTCGATCTTGTCAACATCTGGCACGAGAACACGCTCTCCGTCCATGGGACGGTATTGGCCCGGCTTCACCATGGACATGATCCATCCACGGAAACTGTGATGTACGTGCAAAACACACGTGTGCACACACACGCGCACACACACACACAGAGCGCGCACGGAATGGAAACTGATTGCAATATTGTAGTTTGCAAGGCGTTGTGACAGGGGTGAACTTCCCACAAAAAATTGTGTATTGAGCAGGGAGTGGTGCTTTCTTGCAGGTTTGCGGTTGCAAAGGTTCGATGAACTTCTTGTGTGCTCTGGATGGCCATCGTGAGTCAGCCAAGTGTTAAGTGTAGATGCCAGCGCTCGCATAGGAAACAACAACACACACACACACACACACACACCACACACGCACACACACCTCAGGCCTGACACATGCACACACGCACACACACACACGCACACACACCTCAGACCTGACACATGCACACACACGCACATACACACACACGCGCGTGTCGTGCTACCGGCAAATTCACTACGTCCAACTAATCACATACATTTCACTGTCTTTTTTTTTAGCCTACAAGGCTCTCATGCCACAAACAACACCATGCAACCACGCGCTGGACAATCACAATCACACAGCAGATTAAACGTACCTGAAATCCGCGTGTCCCGGGGGCAGTCCTGGGTTGACGTGCCCGATGTAGATATACAGGAGAAGGGAGATTGTAACGGTGCCCAGTGCAAATGCCCATTGCATCAAGAACATGATAAACAGGGAAGAGATGAAGCCGACAAGTGCCACGTACTTGTTCGTTATCCTGGAATGACGCGGAATAGAGAAAAGAGGAAGAGAGAGAGAGAGAGAGTGAGTGAGAGAGAGAGAGTGAGTGAGAGAGAGAGAGTGAGTGAGAGAGAGAGAGCGAGAAAGAGAGACAGAGAGAGTGTTTGTGTGGATGTGTATGTGTGTACGTGTTTGTCTGTGTGTATGTGTAACTTCCTTATTCTGATAGTGGCACTAGCGGCTCTCCTGCTTAGTGGTGTGAAGCATATACTGTACAGGCAGAAAATTTCGTCCAACTCCAAAGAAAGGGATTTTGTCCGGTTGAAAATTTAGTCCATGGACTATAACAGTGTATTGAAAAGCTGGACAAAATAATCGACATTCGTCCGTCATTTAATTTAGTCTCAAAGCTCCTTGGACGAAAAAGACGAAATTAAATTCCAGACGAATATTTCTGCTTGTACAGTACAGCATCGCATTCCCGATGCTGTATAATGCTGCACGCACACATATCCCAAACTGCCTCAGGCTGCATTTACACGACAATGCTGGGGATGAGCACGCAACCAAATTCATCCGGATGCATTGTTCGTATACATGCTACGTGGAGCAAAACGGAAAGGTTCTACACCAAAACGGCAGAAAACCAAAACGCTGGCCAAGGCGGAAGAATTCGAAAAAAGTAAATGTTATGCCGGACAAATTTGGATGTGTTAACAGTCGAAGCGGTGTGCTGAGCCTCGTTGCCGTCAGGTTTGTATCGTTTTCGCGCGTCCACACGGATCGAAACGGATCCGACAATGTTCGTCATGTGTGGAGTGTTGTCATATGGCGTGTTGTCAACTATTACTTGACTGTGATTGGTGTTCCCACGACAACACTGCTCACATGACGAACGTTGAGGATCCTTCGCTCCCGGGTAGACGTGCGAAAGCGATACAAACGGAGACCAGCTCGGATGGTTTAGATGCACAAAAAAACGGAAAAAGAACTGCTGCATCGAAAGCGGAAAACTGGCCGTGCGTTGTCGTGTAAACGCGGCCTCAGTCGACCCTCATGCCAAAGTTGGCCGTGTAAGCAACGTGCTCTGAAAATCTCATCAATCTGCTTGACACCACCAGCACCAGCACCCGCACCAGCTGCAGCAGCAGCAGCACCATCACGCCACTGCCACCAGCAGCAGCAGCAGCAGCCACACAACAGCATCAGCAGCAGCAGCAGCAGCAGCAGCAGGACTACCCAGACCCGTCCAACACCAACACCAACGCCAGCACCACCAGCATCACTAACAACTAGTATACATACTTGTTCAGGCCAGCCACAGTGGCATCTGCCCAGCGCTCCTGACGTTCAGGGGATACGGCTAGGCATTGCTTGACTTTGGTTAACTGCGACGGCATACGCATGCGACGCAGTGCATCAAAGCGCCGTCGCTTCCTCGTCCTCTCTTGTTGAACAGACGGCTCTAGTGTACCAAGAACCTGCAAGGAGCAAAGGTAACAAAAGAGAAAAAGGAACAGTGAAGGACAATGATGTACCCATCTGATAATAGGCACTATGCATATTGGAGCAGCTGTGCATGCATACAAGCACGCACACATGCATGCACACACAAACCACGCACACACGCGCGCACACACACACGCACGCACACACGCATACACATATACGAAGGGTTTGATTGCAAAACGCGACAAACGCCAACCTCATGCATACAGCGTTTTCGGTGTCATTCGACTCCGTACATGTCCCTCCATCTGCTGGCCAAGTAGATAATTACCAAGACGAGACATATCGATGGCATAGAGCATAGTACACACCAGAATCTGCGTTAAATATCATAATACTTAACTACACGTGTACTTGTACTTGCTCACTTGCTCACTGCCAAAACTGGTCACCTGTAACACTACATGTGCCTTTGCACACACGCACGGGTGCGTGCCCGGACAGACGCGCAGGTAGAAAACACACGCGGGCAGACGGAACTCACCTCCTCTTCCAGGTGTCGCCGCACCGCGCCGTACGCGTGCGCTTTGGTCGCCGAGGCCGCTCCCTTCGGGTCGGCGTGCACAGACATCTGGATCTTGGCCGACTCTGACGCTGCAGTGTTCTCGTCATGACCAGCGTCGTCCGCGCCGTTCGTCGCCGCCTGCTTGGAAGCAGCAGCACCATTGCTACTGTCTGCACCGAGCGGTCCGTCGTACAGCTGCGAGGAGAAATCCGGCGGCCTGCTCATGGCCTGAGAGAAGTACGCGTAATCGAGCGCGCCGTACGTCAGCAGAAACGGCATGTTGACGATGACGGCCAGCGTGTTCAGATGGCCAATGAAGATGAAGATGTAGGAGACGAGCGCGACCGTGATCGTTGCCAGCACGGGCTCGTTGTTGGGCCCGCTGCCCTGCGACATGACGCTCAGCAACGGTATGATCTTCTCGCTGGCGATCGACTGGAAGACGCGCGGCGCCGCATAGATTGCGCCGAGGCACGCCGACAGAGAGGACACGTACAGGCCGAACAGGAAGAGCCAGCCGACAAGGGAGACGCGATACGCCATCAGCGGGTCGTCGCGCAGGCTGTCCCGCTGGCACGTGGCCGCCAGGATCAGAGCGAACAGCAGGTAGAGAACGCCTGACACAACCAGGGCGGCGAACGTACCGATCGGAACGCTGCGCTCCGGCCGCCGAATAT